GAGTCTAAGCCTTTGCCCATGCATTTCCTCAGTTTTAAAACACCCTCATACTCCATCATTTGCTCTGATTGTCAAAGGGGTACTCCTTCACTGAGATTCAGCTCAAATATAACCTTTTCATTAAGCTTTGCCCCAGTATCCCCAGCTGAAGTTAATCCTTTGCATATCCAGGCAGAGTGGTTTGCACTTCTTTACAGTGTTATTCCATTCTCCCATTTGTCATGCATCTTTATTTCCCATTAGAAAACAAGCTCCACAAAGGCAGGCATTCTGTCTTATTTATTCCTATGCCCTCTAACAACCAGCTTACAAAGACCCCTGAGTTTGCTCAGGTAAACTTAAAGAAAAAGAGTGGTAGATAGTAAATTTAGTCTAGAAAAGTGCCCTAATGGTTAGTTACTCTTGGCTTACCAATTAAATGGTAAGCCCCTTGTGGGCAAAAGATCTTGGTCTATAACCGTCTTATAGTTTTTCACAATTCTAGCACAGACTTATAGGCTCCATAAACTATTATTGACTTATCCAAGAAAATGAAGAGGGAAGTTAAGAGGCTGAGTTTATTAACTTCACGGAGAGGAATGGACTTCTGGAAACAAGGGTTTCACTTGTACTTTCTGCCTCTGGCGTTGTATTTTTGTCATAAGTCTAATCACATTCAGGTGTTGTATTGTTAGGTACTTCCTTTTCGTAAATTATCTTACCCTTTCTCTTCAATTTTTTGAAAACCTCATCCTCATAACTTACCTTTCAGTTTGCTTTCATTTTGATTCTGAATTTTTGGAAGAAACTGAATTAGGAAGTCTTAAAGTGAACTTGTTTGAGGTCTCAAAGCAGTTGTAAATAAGTAAATATTCAGAGGTTCTAAAAGTTCTCTGCAGGTCCTTTTTCTCAATCTGATTCCTGGAAAAACCAATCAGGTTTCAATTATTTTGAGTACAGGTTGATGAGATGTGAGAAGAAATTATAGTGAAAGGTTTATTGGGTGTTAGGAAATACCTTAAAATGAGAATATTCATGCTGGCAGGAGTGTAGACATAAACAATGTCCTAGGTAGACAGATATGTGAAACTCAAGGCCCAAAGTTGCCCACTAGTTCAACATCTGATTAGCTATATGATCATAGGCAAGGCTTTTAGCTGTCTCTGTCTATAAAAGAGAGTTTTGGCTATAATCTCAGGCATGCTTATGTCATTATGACCTATGAAAACTGTGACTTTATTCAGAAGAATGCTTGAAGGTGAATGAAAGAACTAATGAAATAGATAGATTAGATATATTGCTGAGAGAAATAGTAGTTGAAAACATAGAAAGGCTAAGAAAGAACTAAAGGATGAAGAAAAAAGAACTTAAAGAGAAATTATTCTTAAGACAATGTGTTTAGCTTTAACTTTACTAGAAAAATAAAAAACACAAATCACCACAAAGTGTCTAACTAAAGGTAATCTTTGTCTATTTTGTTTCACCAGCTCTTAAGGAGTCAAATCTATAGTAGAATATTCTGCAACTTATATATATATATATCTTCTATACATCAATCATATGATGTAACTGATGCAAAAAGGCTTTTAAGTGGTTGTTGTAAATACATGCCATTTTTCATGCTCTTTTTATGCATGAGTCTCAAAAGGGAAAATATTAGTCCAGGAATTATCAGAGAATAAATAGTTCCATATAAATGTGCATTCTAAGTAATTAAAGTTTGGCTCTTTCAAGACCAAAACATTTTTTGAAGTAACCATTCTGGTGAAATTCTTTGTAAAACAGACTGCACAATTCTTTGTTTTGAAAAAATGGATGAAATTAAACATAATTAAAAGTTTTATTGTTAATCTTATTGTTACTGAAACTTGGCACTTGTCCATGAGGCTGAATCAGAAGAATGAGGACAAGTGTCTTTGGGGAGAAGGAAAGAGATTTATTATCTTTGCCAGCAATGGCAGGAAAAAGCAGACGATCATCCCCAAACCCAAATTTTTCCTGAACATAGGCAGAAATACAGAGTTTTTAAAAGGAGTGTTCTCAGCTTGAAGCAATGACTATGTTAACTATTCTAATCATCCCATCTTCGCTAAAGAGAAAGCCTGTGAACTCTGCCGGCCACCTAAGTGGGCAGTTGGTGCCACCTGGGATAAGAATAAAAGGACTTTTTTTTCCATTCTTGTGATACTCCACATATGCTCACCATCAAATTGGTATTAACTGATCAACACTTATGTGCACATATAGTAGTAACATTCATCGAGTGTTGGGCAGATTGGAGAGGGTAGGGGATGCTGGGTATATTCACACCTAATGGGTGTGCACACCATCTGGGGCAACGACATGCTTGAAGATCTGACTCAGGTGGGGCAAACACAATATATGTAACCTAAACATTTATACCCCTGTAATATGCTGAAATAAAAAATAAACAAAACAAAACAAACAAACAAACAAATAAGAATAAAAGGCCCTAGCTGCATACTAGGTACTAGAAAAAAGAAAAAAAAGAAAAAAAAAAAAAAAAAAAAGAATAAAAGGCCTTTTCCCTGCTCCTCCCTACCACTTTGGCCTGAGGCAGGATGAGGTTTCAGTTCTCCAAAAAGAGAAAATATTTTTTTTTCTCAGCCCATTCCTCTGTTACATATTCCCCACTCTCAATTTTACACTTTTATATCTATGGGAGGAGGGGCAACTACTGTTACATTATTATGAACATCATAATTAGTCTGTGTTACATAATACAATTATGCCCTCTGGAATAATTAGGAATTGATAATGAAATTTTAATAATTGTGTATAAAATGAGATAAATTTTCAATCTCGCAATATCTATTTCATCTGCCTATAGAAGATTTCTATCTCATGTATCTTTGTTCTCAGTTATAGTTCCGATGCTGAGATTACAAGGTAAATAATGATCAGTTAACAATAACTGATTCAATGACATAGGAAATTTTTTAAAAGTCTTCTGTGCTACAGATTTTATACACATTTGACAATTGCTAACTGGAGTTTCAAAGAAAATAATAGAAAGACCTATTTCCAAGAAAACCTCTTTTCCCCAAAACAAAGGGAGGCAAATTTCTAGCATGTTGGCCCAGTAGACAGAACTTCCAAAAGAAGCAGATCACTGTTCCTCCTTTCACTTAGAGAAACAAAGGGTTCAGTTTATCTCAGAAAAATTGTCTTTCATGAAACTTGGGCAGGAGTTGGGAGAGTGGGGGAGTGCTCATAGCAGGTGAACAGTGAGCAAGTGAAGCCTCATCTGTATTTACAGCCACTCCCCATTGCTTGCATCACTGCTTGAGTTCTGCACCCCCGCCTCCCCCACTGTCTGTAGAAATATTGTCTTCCATGAAATGGGTCCTTGGTGCAAAAAAGGTTGGGAACTGCTGCCCTAAAGCATTTTAAATATCTCTGAGATTGCCCCTCCCATCACAAGCTCAGAGCTCTAGGACAGCAGGCTGGTTTGAGGGGAAACCGCAGTGCCCTACATAGGCTCACAGCCCAAAGCTATGTTCATGCTCCCTACATTCTGTCACAGTGCTCCTTGGCCATCCCAGCCACAGCTCTAGCAAGCCCAGGTGCAGCTTGACCCACTGATCCAAAAGGCACAGTTTGAAAGCCTTGGCAGCACCCACTTGTTAACTCTGCAGGCTTGCAGAATGCAAGAGCTGTGGGGACATAGCTACCTCCACCTAGATTTCAAAGGATGTTGCTAACAGCCTGAGGACCTAGGAAGAAACTTGTTGCAGGGGCAAAGCCACCACAAAGAGCTCCTGGTAAAGCAATGCTGAGCAAAAATGTGATGTCAGAGCTACCACAGAGAGTCCCTACTGGGGCTATGCCTAGTGGAGCCATGGGAATAAGACTGCCACCAAGTTCCCAGAACTATACAGCTACCAGCCTGCAGCATTATTAGCTTGGAAGAGCTGCAGCTATGAGTCTTTAATTTATGAAAGCCGAAGCCTGGACTGAGACCAGCAAAGCTTTAAGTGCTGGGCTGCCTGAGGCCTTGGGGGGCAACCCCTACCGCAGTGTGCCCAGGATGTGGAAAATGGAGTCCAAGTAGAGTGTTCTCCAGCTTTAAGACTTAATGTTGTTTTCTCTGTTGGGTTTTGGACTTACTTGGGGACTGTTACTCCTCTCTTTTTGCCTGTTTCTCCCTTTGGGAATCGGAATGTCTATCTTATGTCTGTCCCACCATTGCATTGTAGAAACTTTATTTTGCTTTCACAGGCTCACGGTTAGGGGCAATTTGCCTCTGGATAACTCATGCCCAGAGTCTCACCCATATCTGATTTAGATGAGCTGCTGGACTTTGCACTTTTGAGTTGATGCTGGAATGAGTTAAGACTTTTGGGGCTATTGGGAGGGAATGAATGTATTTTGTATGTGAAAAGGACATGAGTTTGTTGGGGTGGGGGGCAGCAGCAGAATGCTATGTTTGAATGTCCCCTCCAAAGCTCATGTTGAAATTTAATTGCCATTGTGATTGTATTAAGTGGTGGGACCTTTAGAGGTGATTAGGTCATGAATACTTATTAATGCCCTTATTGTGAGAGTGGGTTAGCTATCGCAAAAGTGGGCTACTGATAAAAGAATAAAGTTTGGTCCCCATCTTTCTCTTTGACTCATGTTCTCTCTTCCACCTTCTGCTTTCCACCATGGGATAATGCAGCACAAAAGCCTTTGCCAAATACAAGCACCGGGTTCTTATACGTGTTCTTATGCCAGAACAACAAGCCAAATAAAGTTCTATCATTTACAAATTACCCAATCTCAGGTATTCTGAGAAAATGAACTAAGACAGAGGATTAAATGTTTTATTTTATTTTTTAAACAAATATTTATTATGTACCAGAAACTCTGCTAGTGAGGATTAATTGCTAGAAATGGTTATCTAGGAAAATTATAGAATAATGCTTGAGAAATAGTTGGCAGAAACTGTTGAAGCCACATATATATGGTCATTCCAGAAGAACATCTTTGATTTTAGTTTTGTTTCCATCTTTTAGGGGAAGAATCATGTGATGTACAACTTTACATTAAGAGACAGTCCATACACTCTGTCTCAGCGGGAGATCCCTTTGAACTGCAATGCCCTGTGAAATACTGTGAGGAGAGGCCTAATGTGACTTGGTGCAAGATCAAAGGATCAGCCTGTTTAGATCTTGGAGATAGATTTCAACCACACACAAGTTGGAAGGAAGACAAGAATATTTCAGTTTTTATTCTACATTTCGAACCAGTGTCTCCTAGTGACAATGGGTCATACCGCTGTTCTGCGAATCTTTCGTCTAAACTCATTACAAGCCACTCAACAACCATTTATGTGACAGGTGAGTTCTCAACACCTAGACTGTGTAATGTGTTTCTCATCATGCTTCCAGGAAGAAGGTGATCCACTCTCAAGTGAGGGTGCTAGAGGCTGAACTCCTATGGCACACTAGAAGTCTGCCGTACTTCACCGATCATTATGTTCATGTGTGTACACATGTGTGTGCATGTGTGTGTGTTTTAGGGGTTAAGTGAGGCAGAGAAGAATAGAGAAAAATATAATAAAATTTATTGATCTTGCCTTTAGGGGTTATAAAATTTATTTGATAAGTCTAAAAGTAGATCGCTATATATTGAAAAAACTATAACAAAGTGAATACCTCTAGTTGTAAATAGTTCTGTGTTTTTTATCCTGTTTTTCTTTTATTTTTTCTTTTACATATTTGTCCTTGACTTTTGTTACATATAATTCCTTGAGGTTATGTTTATGGTGCTTGGACAATTATACACTTGTTAATAGATTATAATTTTCTTAGAGGACAAACAGCACACAAAGAACCTCACACCCTAATGAGTTTCTAGGAACATTCATAGCTTCAGCTGTCTCCCCCTCCTGCCCAGAGAGGCCTTTAATAGGATCTAACATCTGAAGAAAGACAGGTAGAGGTTAAGCTAGGAGAAACCAAGTTGAATAAAACATGAAAAAATACAAAGAGAGAGAGAGGAAGAGGGAAGAGTAAAAATATTTGATTTATGAAAATTCCACAGCCAATATCATCTTCAACAGTGAGAGACTGAAAGCTTTCCCATGTGAACAGGAAGAAAAAAAAAGATGCCTACTTTTGATACTTCCATTTGCAATAAAACTGGAAGTTCTAGCCAGAGCAATTAGGCAAGAACAAGAAATAAAAGGCATCAAAATTGAAAAGGAAGAAGTAAAACTATCTTCATTCACAGATGGCATGACCTTATATGTTGAAAAATTCTTAAAAATTCATTAAAAAATACTAGATCCTCTCTAACCCTTGCTAGGGAGAGGCAAAGATATAAAATGCAACCAAAATATTCGTACTTTCATACTATCTTGAAATAAAATAAAAATGTAAAAACTAAACTGCTAGAGCAGATATTTGAATTCAGTAAAGTTGCAGGCTGCAGGATCACCATACAAAAATCAGTGACATTTCTGTGCACTAGCAATGAACAACCACCCCCGTGCAAAATTAAGAAAAACAATTCCATTTATAATAGCATTAAAAAGAATAAAATATTTAGAAGTAAATTTAACCATGAAGATGAAAGAAAGTATGGCTGAAAGAAATTCAAGAAGATGTAAATAAATGTAAAGACATATCATGTTCATGGATTGGAAGATGTAATATTGTAAAGATGGCAATATTCTCCAAAGTGATCTACAGGTTCAATGTAATTTCCTTTAAAATCCAAACAGCTTTTTGTTGTTGTTGTTGCAGAAATGGAAAAGTTGATCCTCAAATTCACATGGAATTGCAATAAACTCAGAATTGGCAAAACAGTCTTGAAAAAGAAGATCAAATTTGAAGGACTAACACTTCCCTATTTCAAAACTAACTAAAAAATGGCAGTGATCAAAACAGAATGGTACTAGCATATGGACAGATATAGAGATCAATGCAATAGAATTGAGAGCCCAGAATAAACCCATACATCCATAGGCAATTGATTTTTGACAAGGATGTGAAGACCATTCAATGGGAAAAAAATAGTTTCTTTAACAAATAGTGCTGGGACAATTGGATATCTACATGCAAAAGAATGAATTTGAACACCTCCCTCACATCATATTAGAAAAAAGTCAAAGTGGATCAGAGATTTAAATATAAGAGCTAAAACTATAAAAACTACATTTATATAAAACTATGTTTTCTTAGAAGAAAACATAGAGGTAAATCTTTCTGATCTTGGATTTGGCAATGGTTTCTTTGATGTGATTACAAAGCATAAGCAAAAACACCAAAAATAGATAATTAGACTTCATAAAAATTAAACACTTTTGTGCATCAACAGGCACTATCAAGAGAGTGAAAAGACAAGTCACAGAATGTGATAAAATATTTATAAATCATGTATCTTATAAAGGATTATTACCCAGAATATTAGAGAACAACTACAGTTCAATGACAAATAGACTGGTAACCTAATTTAAAAATGAGCAAAAAAAAACCTTGAATAAACATTTCATCAAAGAAGATATACAAATGGCCAATAAGCACACAAAAATGCTCAATGCTATAAGTTATTACAGAAATGCAAATGAAAACTACAATAAGATTCCATTTCACATCCACTAGGATAACTAGAATTAAAAAACCAAAAGCAAAACCCAGAAAATAACAAATGTTAGAAATGATGTGGAGAAAATTGACACTCTACATTGCTGGTGAGAATGTAAAGTGGTGTAGCTGCTTTGGAAAACTGTCTGGCAGTTCCTCAAAAGGTTAAAGCTAGTTGTCACAGAACCCAACAATTCCATTCCTAAGTAAATACTGAAGTGAAATTTAAAACTTGCACATGAATGCTTATACCAGCATTATGCACAGCAGCCAAAAGGTGGAAACAACCTAAATGTTCATCAACTGATGACTGAATAAAGGAAATGTAGTGTATTCATACAATGGAAAATTATGCTGTAATAAAAAGAAATGAAGTACTAATGTATGTTACAACGTGCATGAACCTCAAAAACATTATGCTAAGTAAAAGAAGCAAGACATAGAGGTCATGTAATGTATGATTCCATGCATATACAATATTAAGAAAAGCCAAATCCATAGAGACAGAAAGTAGACTGGAGGTTGCCAGGGCCTAGGGAAATAAGGAATGTGGAGGGTCTACTTAATGGATACAGAGTTCGCTTTTGGGGTTATGAAAATGTTTTGAATCTAGATGGTGGTGATGTTTGTACAACTTTGCAACTGTCTTAAATGCCATTGTATTGTACTCTTTAAGTGGTTAAAATGGTAATTTTCATATTACATGCATTTTGCCACCATAAAAAGTATATTTTGATCAAAGAAGAGCACCCTTTAATTATAAAAAATAGGATGAAGTTCCTTTTGTTGCCCATAAACCTGAAGCTTATTGTGAAGGAGAAATTTCAAAGAGGTTTGGTGTAGTAGTAGCATGACTAAACTCTAGATGCAGCCACATAAGCTTACTTATTTTATAGATACGATTCACTTGAATGCATACATTTTGTGTCTGTTCTTTTAAAAATTAATTTATTACCTTATATGCTTACTTTGGAGTCAGTGTTTAAACTTCCTTAAAGTACTCCAGTGAAGGAATCCATTGAAATTCCTTTAAAATGCTTTAAATCCCTTACAGCAGCCCAATGAAAGAATGCATGGCACTTTAATGCTAGCTACAATCCTCAACTATGAAGCATAGAAGTGTGGAAGAAATTTACGGCAGAGTTAGAGACTCTGCCTGGGCAATTTGGGGTCAAGCTTAGTGCTAATTGCTGGTGACTATTTCTGCACTGACTTATATACCTCTTCAGTATGGAGGCTGTGTCTTAAACATGTTTGCTTCTCTACAATAGATGGTAGGGGGATCAATAAATATTTCTTTGTAAATGAATTAAAGAATATAATCTATGCAAAGTACAAAAATTGCCTTTACCAACCTGGAGAAACCTATATTGAGGATGTATGGAATGAATGCTTTCTGGAAAGAATTGCAAATTAATTCACATTAATGATATAAAAATATTAAATTTCTAAAAAGTGTTACTTTTTAAACTGGAAAAATAAGGAAAATTTATAAAACGTTAGTTCTGGAATGATGTTAATTATACTATTGAACAAATAAGTGCTAAATGAATAATTTATATAATAAATATAATAAAATAACATTTCAAGGGATTGAGTCCATCTTCCTCAGAAGAGAAGCCCTCTTGTGTAATTCAGTCTTTCTTTGTGGGCACTGGTCTACTTCCATGCAAGAGGGAGGAATTAGGCAGGGTCAGAGGCAAGCTAATAATTACTTGTAACAGAAATTTCTATTACACAGAAGCAATATTATGGATTGTCCTCTTTCCCATATTTGGATCATTCCACAACCACTGAAGATGGCTTATAGTTTTTAAAGTGCATAAAGGTGCTTGCTCTAGGGACCAAGTGAGGGCTGAGATTAAGATCCACAATCGATCTATTTTGTGGAGGAGGAAGCCCTACTTTAGGACAGGGGAAACAGCATTCCCTCTTAAACCCTTTTAAATGCCCTGAGGGGTTTTTATTAGTGTCCAATTGGGACAAAGAGTATGAAGGATGAAGTGGTGAAAGAGAAAAGTCTAAGAGCCAAATAGGAGACATGAAGATCTTGTGTCCTTTTGAAGATTTCTGTGCTCCCAGTTTCCTGCTCACCTACCACTCTTATCATTCCCTTTCTTATCACTTTGTTAATTAATGCCCTTGATCCACATTGAAAAATCCTAGAACCTTTGCTTTGGCTTTTTACTCTTGTTTGTCAACAACCTTCTACTTTATATGCGTTCCCTTCAATAGCTTCTATGAACATCTCAGACCTTCATTATCTTCCTTCTAAATGATTCTAATTAATTAATTCTATGATTGAATTCTGTCTTTAGTGCTTTCTCATTTTGGTCCTTTTCAGCCAAATGTCTTACTAATGTTCTTAATTTGCATAATACACTTCTTTCATAAGGCCACTTGCCTGCAAAGCATCCCTGGTGCTCACAATGCCAGGCTCATGTTTGTTAACCAGCATTCAAGATCTTCCATAGTTTCCTCACACCTACCTTTCTGGATTCTATACAGAGCCTCTCAACTCCAGCCTAACATCCCTACTTGCTATTGCCATGTCTTCACCATGGCCCTTCTATGCCATTCTTGCCACTTGTAGGGAATCCCTTCATTTGTCTCCACTTATCAACACTCTAACCCTCCTTTCAACCCCAGCTCATTTCCCAAGTTCTCCAGGAAGCCTTCCAGGATCACCTTAGGGGTAGTGATTTCTCTTTTCTGTCAATTTTTATGGCATTTGAGGTCTGTATCTCTCATTTATCACACATGTCGTTTCACTGTAGTAATGTATGGTAATGTCTTTTAAGTCCCATGAAAGATTATAATGCCCTGGGAGGCACAAATTGTGTCATATTTCTTTGCATTATTTCTACTTCCTTCCCAAAAGTCAAATAAATTATTTAGGAATTAGCTTTAATTTAAACTGGATGTGTATTTTCCTTTAGTGAAATGGTAAAAACAAAAATAACAGGGAAAGGGTCAAAGAAAAATTCCTTTTTCTTCTGAACCTGAAAGGGCTCAGTGAACTAAGCATAAGAAGTGCTCAGTAAACTAAATATGAACTAAGTATGAGGAAAATATCCTCAGAATTATGTTTAAGGACCATGTTTTTAATATAAATTTTGGAAGGTATGATAAAAAATATTATATTTTCTTCCCTTGAAATATTCTTCCAAAGGGATATTGGGAATTTTCTCATTTTTTGTATCTGACTCTTCTTTGCTGTTTATGTTCAAGTTAAGAATTGGTTCTTGAAATACCAGGTCTGTGACAGAGTGGGGGCTTGCATGCTCTTGAGAAAGCAATATTTTCCCAGAATGAAGAAAAGCACTTTGCAAAATAAAGCAAATCCCCAGGGGAAAAGTTGACAGAGCTGGGAAAAGTCACTAGAAGACACATTGGCCTGAAACTCCATCCTTCCCAACCTTCCCTTGGTATGATCAGGAGCTTCACAAAAGTGGGATGGTCATTATCTGTGCAGGAAAACATGTGTAGAGTGGGAGGGCAGGAAGTGAGAGGTATAATCTTTGTTTCAGAATGAGCATCCAGAACATCATCAAAAGCATCCCTTCCTGGAGCACCTGCTGAATGTGCATCTTGTTATTCCAGGTGCCAGAGGTGTCACTCAGGCTGTATTGTGGCCTTATATTTAAGGAATGGGGAAGAGGAGATCAAAGAGAACAGATGAAGGTTATGTGATATTTACAAAGTCTTTCTGTGATCTTCAGAATAAACCCAGGAATTTACTTTGTGTTCATGACCTTAAGGTGATGATCCACAAACTATGCAAACTGACCTTGAGCTAGACTATCAGATTCTCTGTTAGTGTGCAAATGCTGGAGTTCTTTCCAAGACTAGCTCTGATTTGGGACATACCCAAGTGTATGCTTTTATTGTTTTCTCAACCAATTTCAATTCTTTATCCCATTTCTCTATTTCAGAACAAATTCAAAATAATTCAGAACTCCCTCTAATAAGTAAGTATCAAATAAAATTAAGAAAACTAGTTTGTTTTGTGCTTAGAAAAATAATAGAAGTTGGATCTTCTTAATCAAGCAGATTTGTTTATATTAGGTTATCTGTTGTGGGAACCTTGGTCCTCATTACTATCTAACACCCTCCCCCAGACAGCTGTGCCTGTCACTCTTGGCAATGATCTAGCTGAGGGCCCAGCCTAAACAGCAGCTGCAGCATGAACAATAAAATCTTTGTTACCGCTCTCAATTACCAAACTGCTTTATGCCCTGCTTCCATTGCCATTGATCATTTTGACTCCAAAACCAAGTCTCTAGGGAAACAAATCAAACACATTATAATAGAATGTCTTACTTCAGTATTTTTCATACTATGTTAATAGCAACCCAGAATAAAAAATAGATCTTATATAATAACCCATAATACATGCATATCTGAAAAGAAGTTTCCCAAAGCCATGCTTAACTTAAAGACAGGATTCCTCCATTGACATTTTGGGGTGGACACTTCTTGGCTTCACTGAGAGGGGTGGTATCCTGCATAATGTAGGATGTTTAGCAGAATTTCTGGCCTCTATTCACTAGATTCTATCTTCCCTCCTCTCAACCAAAACTGTCTTCAGACATTGCCACATGTTCCTTGGAGGATAAAACTGTCATGGTTGAGAACCACTGCACTAATGTGTGTGATGCATTCTGATATTTTCTATTCTGTTCTATTTCATTTTTTAAAAATGGTATTTGTGGTCTACTAAATTGTTTTACAATATAACTAATAAATTGCTACCAACTGTGGACAAACAGGGCCTTAATGCACATTAATATTAATCAATTATAATGAGCATTTGCTGTATGCTAGGAAGAACATATTTGGGGATAATGAAAGTATTTGGTATTTGGAAATATCAATGAGTTATGATACAAGGAAAGATCATTGTGTTGAAGAAACTTGAATTTAGTGTCAGAAACATGTTGAATTGAGTTCCAACTGCTACTCATTAGCTGTCTGAATTTGGGCAAAATTATTGGAACAATAACACTATTCTCAAGTCATGAGACTGGACAAAGGCAATGACTTCCCTGTAAGTGACTAACAAGAGAGTTAAAATAGATACTGCAAATGGAAGGGCTTGGTGAAGTGCTTTCTGAGAACTGTTATGGAGATTGTTCTATGGAAGAATAACCCTAGCAAAATAAAGGATTTTTCCAAAAGATAAATTATTACAGAGCCACATGTCTTCAGCAATAAAGCAAAAGGTGGCAGAGGGAACTGAGGCCTCGGATTCCTGGGGAATGCCTCTGAAGGGGGAATGGAGGCATTCAAGTTCTGATGATGTGGAGGGTTCTTGCTGATCCTAATGTGCCTCAGATTTCCTAATTGTATTTAGCATTGACTAACATTCCAGATTCAACCAGTGCCTCAGGAAGACCCTTCAAGGAAGAGGTGGCAAACACACCATGGCTTCTTTATAGTTTGCCTCCTTTGGGGGGATTGCTTCTACTCATTTCCTGTTTCTGCCTGTTCTACTGCCTGAGAAGGCAACAAGGTGGGTTCCATTTTCCCTCCGTCCTTCTGTACCACACATCTGGGTTCTTATTCCTGGGGCTAATCGATTTTTGGTTTATTCCTGTTGTTTTCTTTCCCAATCCTGTGGTAAACCATGGATAATGATTTCCTGGGGGACAACTCATACTTCCACTAAAAAGCCAAATGGGTTGATCTGGGCTCCCCCCAGTCACAAGGAGGCATGCTCACCAGGACACCGTGCTCCAGCCCAGGGCTGTGGCTAGGTGGGCACATTGCTGGGACCTTCTCATTCTATTTGCATTGGTCTTAGGTTTGTATGAGAAGGGTTCGTCTAAACCTTAACAGGATTGAAAGGGAGATGAAAATAGTCTCTTGGATTGGATGGATATGTCTGATTTGAGTTATTTTGTCTTATCCTCTTTTCCCAGCCACGCCACATCATGCCAAGCACACACATACCCTTATCTAAATGAAGATCCAATGTCCCTAGAGGGAATTCACTATGTCCCTACTTTCTATTGCCATTACAAAAACATGCTTGAACACAATCCTCACCCAACAATAATGCATTTGAAATACATGGCTTTGGCTAGGACAGGAAATGTGTGATATTCTGAAAACAATTCCTTTCTACTCTTGTTAAGAATTCCCTCAATGCCATGGCCAAACATGTTTAAGTAAGAGAAAGATGCATAGATAATTCCGATTTAGCTCTGATCTGAACCACTTCGGTTTTCTTTTCCTTTCCTCCTTCCCTTTCATCCCTTTTCCCACAACATCAACCACAGTGTAGCTGTAGAAACTGAGCTAGACAGAACAACCCTTATTTTGTCTACACAAGAGAAAGCTTTGTCTAGGTAAAAGTGCTTCCGGTATTTTGGAGTGAACCCAGAATCTTCTCAGAATTCTGAAGAATTTCCTATAACCCAAACTCTGTGTCTGCAGCCGCACAGCTCTTTCTGTGGTTCCTTTGTAGATTTCCTCATCTTTCTCGAGGCTGCTAGAAGAACCTCTCTCAGAACCTCAGAAAAAGAGTCAGGGATACATTTTTTTGATTAACACATCCAAAGTGCACTAGGCAGTAGGAGATCCTGGCAAGGTAGGTGACAGGGCAGCAGCATTTCTGGCATTGAGTATGGAATGTCCTCAGAGCAAGGACTTCCAGCCTTTCCCAAGTGATGTCCTGTTCCTGTCTCCTCCTCTTAGCTATGCCGCAGGGCTATGTAGAGTGAGAAGTGATGAACCAGTGAGGGAAATGGGCAGCATGAATGCTCACTAACAGGTGTGTGTGGCATGGTAGCCAAAGGAAACGAATAGGCCAAAACTAATAACATGATCACTGGTGTACAACAGGGTGGACATAGGTGGGAAGGTCGTTTACCTTTGTTTACTTTCTTTACTCCTTTGATTACTATTGTTCTTTTGGTCTTCTAGGGGAACAAAAGAAGCTCTCTGATACAGCGAAAAGGGACATTAACATGGTATGTTTGATGTATTTGTTGAAACAAATGGAATTTGTGTTATACCGTGTGTATTTATTTATCCATTTAATAAATTAATTAAATCAATGAATTTATATAGCACTTACCATATGCCAGGTACTATTCTAAATACTACATATACAGACTCATTTTTTAAAATGTCTTTATTTTTATATTCACCCCTCTCTGCATCAAAGATTCTTCAGCATTAACAGGTCTCATAATAAATGGGTTTTTGGAAGGGCACAGGAAGCAGTCTAGACCTGAAGCAGAAAAGTCAGAGACTGAACCATATAACGTTAGCTCTGCTCTTGTCTGTTATGTGGCTTCAGCTTATGCATTTATTATCACAGACACAACACCTTAAAGTAATTCTGGAAGAGAGTAGGGAGTTAATGAAAGAATAAACCCATAAACAGCCTCATATAATGAAAAGACAATTTCATAAATCATACCAAAAGATAAAGAAGCAGGATCTCAGGCTTAGTTACTACACGAAAATTCCTGGTAATATGTGTGGGCTCATTAAGAAGGGACCATCAGGCCGGGCGCGGTGGCTCACGCCTGTAATCCTAGCACTCTGGGAGGCCGAGGTGGGCGGATTGCTCGAGGTCAGGAGTTCAAAACCAGCCTGAGCAAGAGCAAGCCAACTAATATATATAGAAAAAATAAGCCAGGCATGGTGGCACATGCCTGTAGTCCCAGCTACTTGGGAGGCTGAGGCAGGAGGATTGCCTGAGCCCAGGAGTTTGAGGTTGCTGTGAGCTAGGCTGATGCCACGGCACTCACTCTAGCCTGGGCAACAAAGTGAGACTCTGTCTCAAAAAAAAAAAAGAAAAAAAAAGGGACCATCAGATGAAGGAAAGGGGAATTTTGGAGGCAATTTTTCCTCCAAGGTTTGGGATATAAAGTTAGGCCTTCCTTTTCCTTCTCAATCCAATGTTGTGTAAATATTGGAAATAAATAAAAATGGGGCTATATACAATTTGCAAAAACAATATCTGAAGCTCTTTAATTAAAAATAAATTGTTATAAATGAGGTTCTGCAAAAGAACTTGTGTGTGTGTGTGTGTTTATATTTCAATAAGAAAGAGAAGTGATAAAGAGGTGGTAACCCTCTCTTAAACATTCCAGAAATGCCAGAGGTAGATATAGCCAATAATTCTGCATATATTAAATGGCATTCAGTATTCCCCACCTGGCTCCCTAATTTTAAACCAAACCAAATAAATTCAACTTGATAAATTTCTGTTAAGTTTTTAGTGAGCATCAGTAGGCACTGTGTTCAGTGCTAAGGCTCTGTTTCCTCAAATAGGGAAATTTTCTTGAATATTACTTCCTTTCTGCCTATAGTGAATAACAACAAAACTATATTCAGTTATAATCAGTCCTGAGAGCTATAAAACTATTTAAAACAAAAATCTAAATAACTGGCTGTGTAAGTAAAGTCCGGGTTGATTAAACTGTGGTCATTTTTCTTTCTATATAAACTAGATAGATTGTGATTTCAAATTGACTTCGAAAGGGGTTTTTCTGCGTGTGCAATTATCTGGGAAGTTTGTTTTAAGGTGTTCTTGTTATTCACAGGAATTTGAAGTTTTTGCCCCATCTGAGTTGTCTAGCATTTCATAAAATAATCAAAGAGATGCCATATTAGGTCCCTGGGGCCCAGTATTTTTTTCTTTCTTTTCTTTTCTCATACATTCATTCATTCATTCTTGTTTTTGTTTTTTTTTTAATCTTTCAAGCTTTTTTAAGTTCAATAATCCAGGATGGACTTTAGATCTTGTCGAAAGCAGCCACATCCATGGACTGCACGGAGCCCTCAAAAGCAGTGATCTGCAACGCCAGCAGATCTGTCCCAATTGTATCATTTTCAACTACGCACTGTGTTTGAGGTGTTTTTAATGCCTCATCCCACTTTAACTGTTTTTTAGAGGAGCTCCAGACCAAACTGTCTGCTCGAATGCTTCTGGTGCACTCCTCTAATGTTGCCAGATCTGTCTTACCATCTCAATGTTTCACGGCTAGTAAGATGGAAGACATGGCAACAAGGGAGGGGTTTTGGCTTCCTTTGATTCATACTGTGCAAGGTGCTCTTCCTTTATCCTCTTCGATTCTTTGCTCTCCTCCTCCTCATCAGATCCAAAGAGATCAATGCCATCGTCATCTCTACTATCTGTAGCTCCACTTCCTGTAGTGTCTTCCATATTAGCAGAGCCAGCCTTGCTCAAAGTCACCTTCACTCCTGGAAGGCTGACCTTTTCCTTTTCATAAGACTTGATGTGATTATTCCAACTCAGGGCATGAAATAACGTCTGCAGGCAGTGGGCAGGAGACTGCTTCAGAGTGATGAGGTATGTTTATGATGGCCCAGAGCCCTTGATGTAGCTCTTGTCCTCCAGGTAATCCATGAACACCTGGAGGCCAGTGGGGCTTTTCAAGTCTTGGTAACCCATGGCATCAGCTGGATGGGAGAGCTGAGCAACAGTAGAAGGAAACAGGTCTGGACTAAGATTCCAGCCTAAGAAAAGAAAAAGGACCCTGGGGCTAAAAATTTCTTAAATAGAAACTTGTATGGGAGCCAGTGGGAAAAACCAAAGTAGGGAAAGGAATTGGCAAAAACATGGCAGGTACATGTAAAAGCCAAAATTCTGATCTTAATCCAAAATGGTCCTTTGAGAGGATAAAAGTTCTTGTATGCTAAAAACCACTGAATGGTACACAAGGGTGAATTCTAAAGTATATGAATTCTCTCTCTCTCTCTCTCTCTCTCTCTCTCTCTCTCTATATATATATATATATATGACTTTATAATGTGTCATAGGAGTATAATGTGGGATTGCTGCTTCTGTCTTTATCCTCACTACCCACCACATGCTGGCGCACCAGCCTTGTGGCATCCAGTTGCTTTGATGGGGTGCCGTTGGAGAGGTTCACCTGTAGAGCACCATGTGTTCTTGTACCTCATTCATCCTAACAAATTTGGAAATGAGCCATCTTTTGGGAAGTCAACCAGGTAACTGAACTGACAGACTTGAAAAGTATGACAGGGACCTTGTTGACAGATTGAGACTTGTGGCTATTTTCCAGGTCACCTGACTTTCACCAGGCTCCTTTAACAGAGGTGGGGGGCACTTTTCATCTTAGCCAAGAAATTCCTGCCTCTTTCAATCATCTAGCCTTTGTGTTATTTCTGGGCAGCCACCTCAGGAGAGGGAGCCAATGTACCAGCAGTTATTACATAGTTTCTCAGGACAAAGCCAGATATGCTTGCATAGTAGAAGTCTGCCAAGGGGATGATGTAGACATCCTACTGCACACGTCACATTGAGGATGACAAAGGACCTAATACTGTATGTAAACTACCAAATACTATGTACCTGATGCCTTAAAGGAGTTAGGCCAAACTTCAAGAACATAAATTGGCAACATTAGGATTTAAAAAATTGAAATAATCCCTAGAATTAACACAATATCTTCATTCTTACCAAGTGGATCCTTGTGTAGCTAGGAATGGCTAACAAATAACTGTTAAGAGTGAGAAAACATCAGGACTCACTTTATTTTTAGTATCCATGAATTTACCTCTTTCTCAGAAGATCTAAGATATTTGGCACTATTTGAAAGTGTAAAAAAATTTTTGTGATAAAAATAACAACTGGATATCAATTGTCCAATTCCGGGTCCTCTATTACAATAAGATATCTTGGATAACTCACAGTACATATTCTTTCTGAGCCCTTAGTGGTTATCTGTTCTGCTTTATCTTTAGTCTTTTATTCTAAACTGCATTAATTCTGTCCACTGTGTTTTCATGGGATATTTTGTGTGTTTTCCGTAATCTGAGTTGTGCTTTTCATCTTGAATGGGGATTGAAAAGTGTTCCGTGACCTCAAAAATGACCAACAATAAAGCACAAAATAACTATGTGGGGGGAACATAGTGGTTCTCATGCCTTTCAGCCTTTAATAATTGAGTGTGTTAAAAATGTAGTTGTCACCAGCATATGTGAGGAGCAGAAGATTGTTTCTCCGAAGGTACATGAGTCCATTTAGCTTTTCACTCGTAGTTTACTAATCCACATGCACTGTCATGCCTTAAGTGGCACTTAAAATCACCTTTCTCTTATAGGTTGATGTTCCCCAGCCCTTTAAGAGTGAGCAAACGGAAGAGGGCACTGGACAAAATTCCCAAACACTGCCATCAGAAACTGGAATTTATGATAATGACCCTGAAATTTGGTCCAGGATGCAGGAAGGATCTGAAGTTTATTCTCAACCACACCTGGAGGAAAACAAACACGACATTGTTTATGCGTCCCTGAACCATTCCATCATTGGAATAAACCCGAGACAGGCAAGAAATGTGCAAGAAACACCGACAGAATATGCATCCATATGTGTGAGGAATTAAATCTGGTCCTGACTCCAACCAGTGATCATTCCATGATCAGTGTGTCAACACCATTGTCTGAGCCCAAAAGGATGTCAAATAATATTTGTTGACCTGACAATTTTCACTTTAAAAAGGTTCATGTTAGTGCTTGGGCCTTATGAGTCCACAGTACAAATGATTAAAATTTCCTCTGGAAACTCCTGTGGGAGACTTTTATATTATAATCTTTAACAACAAAGATTTATCTGCAAAATTGATTGATATCATGAGTAGCAGAATAATACATATTTAAACATAGCTGCATTTTATTCAATATATAAACTCAATCTTTCTTTTGGAGCAATCAGAAAGACTTGCAGGAAAGAGAGATTTGTGTTATCTGGATCAGTTCAATACAGAAAGAAAAAAAGTCCTAATTTGACTAACCATAAATACAGAAATGATTGTACATTTCCAGTCAATCTTCCACAATAAGAAATTTTCCCATGTCAAGCTAAGACTGGTGTTTCTTAAAGGTAAAGGAGAAATCATTTTAGACTTGATGTAGAAAAGAATAGAAAGGATAAATGGCACAATAAAGATATAGGATATATCATTCAGATATGGATTGGATGTTTCCTATACCTGGCAAACAAATGCTTATATCTACCCTGTTAGATTGCTAAGCAAATACAGATATTAATGGAGCATTTTTGAGCAAAGTGGTGATTCAGTATTTGGGTTTTATAGACAAATGCATATGAATGTGACATAATGCTGCTGGATTAATATAATTGTGGATATCTAAATAAACAAATTAGTAAAAATATGAATTATTAGGCAAATGAAGATTAATGGCTTCAATTACTTCATGCTTGACTTGATAGCAAATTAAAAGCATAATTAATGGAATAAAGAAAAGGCCAGAATATTTAGTAGGTTGGGGTCAACATACTTTCATCCACCACATCTGTATTGCTTTTCTTCTTACTAAGGAATAGAGGCAAATCATATGTAGTGATGTATTATAGTTTGATAATCATTTGTTTTAAAAAACTGAGGTTGCAGCCACTTAAGAGTATAGCAAGAGGGGGCCAGGCATGTGGCCCAGATCTTAGGAGGCTGAGGCAGGAGGATCACTTGAGCCGAGGAATTGAAGTTTGCAGTGAGCTATGAGGCCACCACTACACTCTAGCCCAGGTGACAGAGCAAGATTCTATTTCAAAAAAAAGAAAAAAAAAGAGTATAGCAAGAGATGGTTTCAGATTTTTCTAAATATCCAGAGTACTTGAGGTTAATTATTTCCAAAATAGTTTACAATTCTATTTAACAGTTTGAGGCTATTAGAATTCCCAGGTGCTGCTACTAAATAATGCAATAATCCTCATACAAAGTGAATAGCAAAGGTAGGATCCATTTTGAACAAATATATGAGCTGCTGCACAAGTGAGTGTGATCTCTATGTTTGCGTGTGTGTGTTAGTGTATAGACGGTATGGGTGACTTAAAGAAATGGTACAAAAGGAATGGATTAAATTGCATTCTGTTTTCTATTTGTTTATGGAGCACAAAATACCAGAGTAAATGGCTCATTAAAGAAAATAATGTATAAAATTATGGGGATGGAAGTATGAGTGTAGTGCACACACACAAAGATAAAATTGAGGTTTTATAGTGGCGCTTTTCTTATGTAATACTGACGTTAAGTTTTAGCTCCTTAGATTTGGAGCTGCAGATATTGTTTTGAGTCACATATTGTTTTGATAGCTAATTTATTTATTTTTTGATATCCATCTATCAATATAACATTATTACAGCTAGAATTTTAAGCAACAAATTCTAAATAGGCTCTTTCAGCCAAACTGCATTTGTGGATGACTTATGTAAAAGACATATTAGAATGGGTGCTTGTGGTAATCTTAAAAATAGAAACAGGAAGGAAAGGGAGGATACATTTATCAGATGAACGCACAAAGCTGAACGAACAGTTCCTTCATTATTCTCTCCAATTCAAAAACAGAATATTTTGTCTATTGTCATTTTAGGGTCTTCTTAGTATAACCTATAGTAAAGATAATGTTATAGTGATTTCACTTCTGTAAGTGATTTTTTTTGTTGTATGTGTATCACCCTTGCTAAAATCACAAATCATTTATGTTTTTATTCCTTCTTAATAAAAGGTGTCAAAGATGTATATGTATTTCCCCAAATAAGTCTATTTCAGTATTATTTACATGGCTTATTTTATTAATTTATAGGTGGTTTGAGAAAAATTATATATGGATAATTTAATGATTTTGCATGTACTTTAATTTTGTTGAGTGTTATAAATAAGAAGATAAATTTATTAAACTTATTTAAAATCCATTTGGCATTTGCCTTTGTACCAAAAAAATGTATGAGCATGAATAGAAGAGTGATTCTTAAACCCTATGGTACATAAAAACAACCTGAATTAACTTGCTGAACTGCAGATTATCAACTCCCAGCATTAAGAAATTCTGATCCAGTAGGTATGGCTCTTTAGTCTTCATCTTTAAAAGACATCCCAGATGATTTTGATGTAAGTGCCCCAGTGATCACAATTTGAGAAATGCTGAAGTAGAAGGTAGGTTTGCTACATGTGGTTTATTTGATCAGTTTTGTGTACCAATCAAGACTACCTCTTGCTTGATCATATTTATTTTTTTATACATAGAGACTTTTTTTCAGAGCAATTTCAGATTCAGCAAAGCTAAGTGGACACATATCCGCCATTAGAGTGACTTACAGAATAGTTTCACTGCCCTAAAATCTGTGCTGCTCCTATTCATCCCTACTTCCCTCCCAACACCTGGAAATTACTTATTGTCTCCATAGTTTTGCCTTTTCCAGAATGTCATATAGTTGGAATCATATCCCATGTAGCCTTTTCCAATTGGCTTTTTCACTTAGTAATATGCATTTAAGTTTCTCCTGTGTCTTTTAATGGCTTATAGCTCATTTCTTTTTAGTGGTGAATGATATTTCATTGTCTGAATGTACCACAATTTATTTATCCATTCATCTACTAAAGGACATCTTGCTTGCTTGCAAGTTTGAACAATTATGAATAAAGCTGCTGTAAACATTTATATGCGGGGGTTTTTTGTGGACATAAGTTTTCAACTCATTTGGGCAAATACCAAGGAGGATGATTGCTGGATCACATAACAGTATGTTTAGTTTTGTCTGAAACTGCCAAACTTTCTTCCAAGGTGACTACCATTCTGCATTCTCACCAGCAATAAATGAGAGTTCCTGTTACTTCACATTTTAGCCAGCATTTGGTGATGTCTGTGTTTTGGAATTTTGCTGTTCTGATAGGTACATAGTGGTATCTCATTGTTGTTTTAATTTGCAATTCTCAAATGATGTATGGTGTTGATATTCTTTTCATACACCTATTTGCATTATTTGCATCTGTGTATCTTCTTTAGTAAGGTGTATGTTCAGGTCTTTTGCTCATTTCTCAATTGTGTTGTTCATTGTCCTGTTGAATTTTAAGGGTTTTTTGTATAGTTTGGATAACAATCCTTTATCAAATGTGCCTTTTGCAAATAATTTCAGTCTATGGCTTGTCTTCTCATTCTCTTTGTGATCATAGCACTTACTTGTTATTATGTTTGCTGCTACATTAGACTGTGGGCTTCTTATGGGCAAGGATTATGTCACAGTACTCTTTAGTTTCTTAGCCTAGGGTTTTGCACATATTAGAATTAAATAATGTTTACCTAATGAATGGATCGTGTTTGTGAAGTGGTCATCTACTCCCCTGCTACTCAAAGAATGGCCCTCATTCTTTGTGTAGCCATTTGTGAATACTTTATCCACTTAGCCTTTGTGTGTGGTGAGGAGCCAAGTCACATTTATAAGACAAACTAATTTATTTATTTATTTATTTTCTTCTTTTCTTTTTTATTTCAGCATATTATGGGGGCACAAATGTTTAGGTTATATATATTGCCCTTGACCCCCCAAGTCTGAGCTTCAAACATGTCCATCCCCCAGATGGTGGGCATTGCACCCATTATGTGTGTATACATCCATCCCCTCCTACCCCCCTCCCATATGCCTGACACCTGATGAATGTTATTGCTATATGTAAACTTAAGTGTTGATCAGTTAAAACCAATTTGATGGTGAGTACATGTGGTGCTTATTTTTTCATTCATGGGATACTTCACTTAGTAGAATAGGTTCCAGCTCTATCCGGGATAATACAAGAGGTGCTATATCACCATTGTTTTTTGTAGCTGAATAGAACTCCATGGTATACATAAACCACATTTTCTTAATCCACTCATATATTGATGGGCACTTGGGTTGTTTTCACATCTTTGCAATTGTGAATTGTGGTGCTATAAACATTTGAATGCAGATATCGTTATTATAGAATGTCTTTTGTTCTTTTGGGTAGATGCCCAATAATGGGATTGCTAGATCAAATGGTAGATCTACTTGTATCTCTTTGAGGTATCTCCACATTGCTTTCCACAGAGGTTGTACTAGTTTGCAGTCCCACCAGAAATGTATGAGTGTTCCTATCTCTCTGCATCCATGCTCACATTTTTGTTTTGGGATTTTTTTTTTTTTTTTTTCGAGACAGAGTCTTACTCTGTTGCCTGGGCTAGAGTGCTGTGGCATCAGCCTATCACACAGCAACTTCAAACTCCTGGGCTCAAGTGATCCTCCTGCTTCAGCCTCTCGAGTAGCTGGGACTACAGGCATGTGCCACCATGCCCAGCTAATTTTTTTTTTCTATATATTTTTAGTTTTCCAGATAATTTCTTTCTGGTTTTTAGTAGAGATGGGGCCTTGCTCTTGCTCAGGCTGGTCTCTAATTCCTGAGCTCAAATGATCCACCCGCCTTGGCCTCCCAGAGTGCTAGGATTATAGGCATGAGCCACCAGGCCCAGCCTGTTTTGGGACTTTTTGATAAAGGCCATTCTCACTGGATTTAAGTGATATCTCATTATGGTTTTGATTTGCATTTCCCAAGACAGACTAATTTAGAAAGTTCTATTTTAGGGTTTTGGCACCCAACCCAGAAAGTAAAAATGTTAAGTGAGGAAAAAAATTACTATTTTATCTAACAGAGGTTTGTGCTAAATTTGAAAACATGGGAACTGAAAGTCCTGTGCTAAAAATCAATTTACAGGTTCAAAAGCAAGTACTGAGGGTTAATCTTTAAAATCAGACCCTATGCATGAGTTAGTGTAAACATTCCATTGCAATTGCTTTATCTGTGAACAGTTCCTCACTGAGAGTTAAATTTGTGAGCACTCAGCAATAACAGGCAGTGGTTCACCAAAATACCAGGGTCTGAAAAGCCAATCTGCCTACGTCTCAATTACAGTACATTTCTCCTTTCACCCTCTCTCATTCTACCCTTAGTAAGAAGTGGGAAGAGGCCTTGCCCTGTTATTTTGGTTAGCTCTCTGTGGGCTGTTTCCTTTTCTTATTCTGGTCAGCCCATTTCCTGGAGCTGGTCTCTGTTCCTAGTTGTTTTGGGAAATTTTTTTTCAGTCTCTAATTTGGATATGTAAAGCCACAGCCCCATTCTTTTTGTCCAGACAGGGCATTGCTTGGGTAAATATATCTTCCAGGTCTGGGTGATATTTGTTTCATATCGGTTTGGGTTTGATTGCAGATTCTCAGTACCTTTGCTAAGGTACTGAGAATGTTTTCATGTCTGCTAATACAGCATCCATTCTGTAGTCCATGGATCAAGGATTAATTTTGACTTTCAAGTATTATTATTTAAGAAGCACATTTTGTAAGGCTATAGCTTCCATAGATAGTGACTCCTCTGATGGATCTTGGCAAAGTAAATTGTAACCCTTTTGGAAAGGACTCAGCACTAGATGGGGTTAAGAACATTTGTGATTCATGGGACAAGGTCAAAACATCAACATTATCAAGTGTTTAGAAGAAGTTGATTCCGACCTTCATGAGTGACTTTGAGAGGTTGAAGACTTCCATGGAGAAAATAACTGCAGATGTAGTAGAAGTAACAAAACTACTAGAATTAGAAGGTGAGCCTGAACATGTGACTGAATTGATGTAATTTTATGATAACACATGCATAGTTGCTTCTTATGGATGAGCAAAGAAAGTGGTTTCTTGATATGGAATCTATTCCTGGTGAAGATGCTGTGAGCATTGTTGAAATAACAAAGGACTTAGAATATTACATAACTTAGTTGATAAAACAGCAGCAGGGTTCGAGAGGATTGAGTCCAATTTTGAAAAAAGTTCTACTGTGAATAAAATGCTATCAAACAGCACTGCATACTACAGAGAAATCTTTCATGAAAGGAAGAGTCAACCAATGCGGCAAACTTCATTGTTGTCTGTTTTAAGAAATTACCACTCCAACCTCCAGCAACCACCATCCTGACCAGTCAGCAACCATCAACATTGAGGTAAGACCCTTCACTGTCAAAAAGATTGTTACCATTGAAGGCTCCAATGATCACCAGCATTTTGAGCAACAAAATATTTTTTTAATTAAGGAATGTGCATTTTTTAAACACAATGCTATTTCATACTTAATCAGCTACAATATAGTGTAAATATAACTTTTATATGCACTGGGAAGCCAAACCGTTCATGTGGCTTGCTTTATGGTGGTGGTCTGGAACTGAACCCACAATATATCCAAGGCATGCTTGTTTTGATGATTTAAATATAATTCTTATGAATATATTTCCTTTTCATTAGGTCATCTAAAATTAGATAGTATAAATATTATATTTTTATTGAATTAATTGATCTACTTTCACTTAAATCATAATTGAAGTTTCACATGGCCAGGTGGAAGTTTGTGATAGAGCAGTTTTAGGTTCACAGAAAAATTGAGCAGAAGGTGTAGAGATTTCCCATATACCCACTCACTACCTACTCCCAGATAGCCCCCTTCATTACAAACATCCTCCACCAGAGTGACTAGAGAGGTGCCTTGGTGGTTATCACCTTAAACTGAGTGTATAATATTGGTATACAATTATATATAAATGAGGTGTGGCGCTCTCACCCTTTGCCTAGTTTTAGTTGGCTATGCTGCATAAAAACCTTTGACATTATTTTAGCCCTCCTAGTAAACATTAAGCAATGTGGAATTCCGAGAAGGCATTAACATGTAACTACTTTGATAGAGAAAATAATGGACGAGGGAATTTTTGGTTCTTAATAGCTCACTTGACAATCCTGTCTGGCTCCAGTTCACAGGGCAGATAGTTCCTGGAGGTTAACAGTAGACTACAGAGGATTAAAACACTGGTTCTAAAAACGTAGTCAAGGAGGGAGGCAAGATGGTTGACTAGAGACATTGGTCACCAGATTGTCTCAGTAAAAAAGGAGAAGTTTTCAATGAAAAATAAATATAACTCGGGCATAATTCTGAGGGAAAAGTGCCAGAACCTACCAAAGATTCCACAGGAAAAAGTTGTACAGCAGAACAAGAAGGAGCAAGATTTCAGCTGAGGTCAACCCCTGCGAGTCTTGGAGTCCTGTGGAAAGGGTAGGCGGGAGTGTTTGTTTTTCCTCCCCGCATACCTCTGGTAGTCAGCAGGCTCCTGTGCTGCTGGAAAGCTTCTCTGCCCTCATGAGCCCCAAAGCTGCTGCAGCCAGTGAATTGGGAGCTTCTTCAAAACAAAGCACTGCGCGCCAGCCGCCTTGGGGTTGCTCACCTTCACCACAGACCCAAGATGAGCTGTCAGGCAACATACTGCTTCTCCACCCATTGTGCAATGTCCTCTCCAGGGAGCATCAGCCCTTCAGTTTCCATGTCACTGGTTGCCACTGCCACGCCTGCACCAGCTCTCCCTGTTTCTCAGATATTATCAAAAGCTAATGAGATGAGATTAGACTTGATAACCATTAAGGACAAAGTAGTGCACTGTACTCCTGCCTCCTTATAGCAACAGTCCTCAACCTTTCGGCACCAGGGGCCAGTTTCATGGAAGACAATTTTTCCACAGACTGGGAGGTGAGAATGTTTTCAGGATGATTCAATTTCATTACATTTATTGTGCAGTCAAATCTCTCTGCTATTTGCAGAGATCTGTATTTGCAGCCACTCCCTAGCGCTGGCATCACTGCCTAAGCTCCACCTCAGATCATCAGGCATT